TCAAACCTTTCATTCTGCTCAACAGTCAGGTGATTTTTCCAGTCTCCAATGTTACCTGGGAGGAAAAACAAGTCAACTGCATCAGTGAAGATTCCAGGGAAGAGGGGACATTATACCTTAGTGGTGTTGAGAGAAGCATTGCTGGTACTCTCCTTTTTCTCCCCCAAAAGGCCCCCCACTGACTCCTGCACATGGCCACACCCGACACTCTCTCACCTCCTGGCCAGGGAGCAAACTTATCCTGGCAGTTCTGCTGTAATTGAAGATCATTAGCCCAACTTCTCGGCTGGCAGCCAGCTGGAAAAGAAGAAAACCCTGGCAACTTGTTTACTATTGCGTTCCAGGCTAGCTTGGGCTCTAGTAGTTTTCTGAACTCCTTTAAAAGTTCCATACAATCACATATCGATGAACTAACATTTACTGATGGGGACAGGGATGCTCAGAGAGACTTGGAAAATGCCACCGGAGGTCCTACACTTTGGGTCGGCTCACCTTTACCCACTTTAATTTCACAACATTCTTACTTTAAACTTCTAGATGTGGAGTCCTGATGTCACACAGAGGCTGACAGAAGCAGAAGCAAGAAAAGAAACGCTGATCTTCAAACACAAATTTGTAAACAAATAACTGAAACAAACGGAAACTCTAAGGAAACCGGAAACACAAACCACAACAGTGCAGGACGCTCACACTAGTGCAAATGATGTCCCACCCTGTTGCACCTCACCTAAGAGAAGAGTGCGTGTGAGTGCACAATAAACATAAGGGGACGCAAATCACTTCCACAGGTGGTTTGGCTCCTCCTAGTTTTCCTCTTAGCCATTTCAGTCTGTCATTTTCAGGTGTGTGAAAGATGGAGGAACACAGAACATTTTCTCTTTTCAAAGAGAAACAAGTTGCAGGTGCCAGGACAGGGGCAGTTGAAAAGGGCCTGAGGATCGACAACATGGTAGGGTTTGCGGGGCATAACAGGAAGAGAAGTCCCCACCTCAGGTGGTCTCCAAGGTACCAGTGGTCATATTTTCAAGTTGAATGGGAAAAGACATAGGAAGAGATTATGTGAAGGAAATCCTAATTTAGAGAAATTAACATAGAGTCATAGAACCCTATGATCGAATGCAAAATTTATGTCTCTAATTCTGTATTATACATTATTCATGTACTAAAATCAGAAAATATCACTTAGAATGATGGTATAAAATAAAAGAAATATTTTAACATGTTCAAATGAGTTAGTTATATAGGGAGTTATACATTTAAAAACCCAGTCACCAGAAGTATGAGATATTGAGACAAATGAGATATTCGTATACTTTTTTATGATGTAAGAATCTGGTTTCCTAGAGGACACATGACAGTCCTGCCCAGGAACAAAAGTGCAGTGAGTGTGTGTTCTTAAGTCATCCCTGGAGGAGCTTGAGGGTAAAGCACAGAGAAGGAAGAGCAGCCAGTGAGGGCCACAGACCTGTCATTACCTCTCCATCACAAGGTGAGCCCACGCTAATGAGGGGAAGCAGACCAACACTAAATGAACAACCATTTGTGGAGACATTGTACTAGGAATCAGTAGATTGTCAGGGGGCCATGAGGAAGACCTTGTAACTGTAAGTTACTCATTGGATTCATTCAGAGAACAAATATAAGAATCTCTTGTAGAGCACCAGGAGAAATCATAGGAAATCATCTTCCTAGCAAAATAAACAGGCCCATGAGGGCCCATGATGTTAGGAAAGTCCACCAACAAGCTTAGAAGCTACATTCTGGCTCATTGCTGCCACAGTGCCACGTGGCCACTCTATGTTCACCCTCACCTTTGCGAAGGAAATGACCTTTTACATCCGGCCCATATCCAATGGCTATTATATTGTCATAATTTGCCAGTGGGTCATACTTCATGTTCTCAAATGTGGCCTGTCTCACAACCACATCCATATCCTCTTCACTCAATCCTTTCCCCAGAAACTTGCAGATTTTTGACACAGAACCTCTGAGATCCTGAAATAAATCAGAGTATGATATTATGCACAATATAAGAAAGAAAACATCAACAAAAGTCACAGCTAAGTATTGTTATGGGAGTAAAAAATATAAGTGCTTATGCTGGCTGGAAAAATGGAGTTGGACCATGAGAAGTGACTTGCTTATTCCTTCTTGGTAAGTTCATCTTTCACTGTGCACTGTTCTAGAGCACATTTGGGTTCATTTAGGAACACTCATGTTCATTTTAGAGCAGACACCTACGTCAGACACTGCCTGTGCGAAGGAGCAGGGGCACAGAGGCACAACAGGGAATCGGAGCTGGGAAATCAGTACACAGATCTGTGGGCAGAGAGTCATTGTGTGACAGAATTCAGAGAAAGTCTCAACAAAGATGACAAATTTGTTCTGAGAATTCAAGCAAAAAGAGGCATTTTCTAGATAGTCATACTGAAGGGGTGGAGTCCAGACAAAAGAAAAAATATACGCAGTGTTGGGGATGCGTGGAAGCTCGAGATACCAGGTCACAGGACCATCAGAATTCGAGTTTCCCTGGTGGGGCTTCACAGGCACATGGCTCGTGTGAGAAAGTGGGGAGATGAGGCCGGAGGCAGTGGAGAGGTCATAGTGTGGGGAAGGTTTTAAGGCCAATCATGGTCGGAGTCTCCCTTCAGCAGGTGTTACAGACTCAACAAGAGAGTCCAGGCATGGTGTCCTGAGCTTGGGGCAGGGGTAACAGAAACCAGGGACAAATACTCAGCAGGTGGCAGCCCTTAATCCTGCCTGGCTTGCAGCTCTTTCTCTTCTTTCCTGCTTAGAGATCCCTGGTGGTGTTTGGGCAGCAGTGCCCAGTCCCTGTCCCGTAATGATCCTGATTGATCCAAGATATTCATGGTAATCCCATTGCCCTCTACGAGACATTCACCTAGGGTGGTCACAGACTCAACTTTGGTATTGAAACAGAAAGATGAAGTCAAATAGATGTTTAAAAGAGTGATTTTCCTCCTAGTGATGAGATGGTAGCAAAGCAAGGCAAGGAAGTCGTTCTTGTCCCACTTCCCTCTCTTTCTGCCATACATGCTGTCAACTGAGGACATGACTTTGGAGCTACAACAACCATCCTGCTACTATAAGAGGAGACATCATTGCCACACTAGATATGATAGGAAAGAAGGACAGAAAATGCCTGGGACATTCACGACATGCTGAAGTTGCCAGAACCAACAACAGGATAGCCTGCCTCTGGGATTCAGTCAATCAGTAATAGAAGTTCTTCTCTTTTAATGTGTTCATCATTGACTACTGGGAGCTGCATTCCCTCTAATCATACACAGACATTTGATTTAATTTTTCATGCAGTGCTTAACCATATACAGATAAGATTAAAGTTTCCCATGAGATGCATCGCACAACGATGAATATAACATCCAGAAAGTTACTAGAATCAAAATGCAGAAAATTGATTTCATAATCCATCAACGGGTGACCAAAAATCTGGTTCATGATAGTCAAACATGTGTATGGCCTCATAGATAAACAGACGATGCCTCACACATAGTCAGTTTTTGAAAAGAAAGTTCCAGTTAATTAACTGTAAATGACCACCTGGTAATCGAAGTACAGGAGTGATAGAAGAAAAATGTCTCCTGTACACCTAATCAGGGATCTAAAATTTGATACTGTTTTGGGGTGTTCTACCCATAAGCCATCAATTCATTTGGTCAGGGTGCCTTTCAGCTGCCATGAAGTCACTGATGTCATGTTTCTCACCTTCTTCATCTCCTCATAAGTCATGAACTGAATGTTGAAAAGGCTTCTGTGCTCATACCAACCTTTGATGTGGTCAAACCAAAGGCTTCCCATCACTGTGGAAAAAACAGGTACATATTTAGGTAAATATGTTAAACAGGTTGAAAAGAAGCTACAGTTGTGGGAGGTGCAGGAATCTTTAGTAACAAAGAAGGGAAAGGAAGTCTATTGCTACATTTCAGATTTCGCCTAGCACCTGGTAATGGGAGAGCTAGCCACCATTCCCTAGGAAACAATTACATGAACTCAAGGAACAATCGGTCCCTTAAAAAAGCATTTCATATAGACAGAAAACCATCTTCCCACGGGGAGAGAAAAACTGAAACTGGAAATCAGAGAAAGGAATCCTCTCCATTTTTGCTTCTCCCCGTCCCCAAAGACACAGGGAGCTATTTCCCTGCTGCATACAACATGAAGTCTCCCTGGTGGGTCACTTGAGCTCTGCACAGAAACTAATGTTAGTTAACTCTCCTGTTGCAGATCATCATCTCTACCTCTGTAGGCCTTTCCCCTGCTCAAACAGCCACACTGGCACCTCAGAAAAGAATGCAGGGGTCACATGCTGACTCCCAGGATAGAGTATGCAACGCTTGATCACGGGGTTGTGAGTTCAAGCCCCACACTGGGCGTAGAGAACACTTAAAAAATAAATAAAAATTTAATAAAAGTTAAAAAAAAAGAGAGAAAGGAATGTGGAACAGAATTTTGTCAAATAGAGCTTCCTATTCAATATGCTGTGCACAGCCCAATCCTGTGATCTAAATTGAGATGCTTCTCCCTGAGCTAGAACGGAAAACTGTGAGCTCGTGAATCCCCTTTGCCACAGTTAGATGTAAATATTTTCTGGTGATATAACTGTAACTTGATGGTCCCCTGAGAGGGAGCAGGAGTAAGGAAAATTTGTAACAATGCCTGGTCATGGTCATCCACGACAACCCTATCAACTGGCTTGATACATTGATTACTGACTCCCATTTGACTCTCTCTTGTCATCTTCTCCCTGCCAGATTCACTAAGTGTAAAAATGTACATGTTGCTTATGCTATAAATTATAGTTACCTCTTCCTTCAAGAAATCGTTTCATGAATTCCTCAAAGGTACCTGTAAATTGTGACGTCACATTCTTTGCAAAGTGAAAATATGAGCACATAACGTCCTTAGGGTTTCTGTATACATAAATAATCTGGAAAGAAAGGAGGTATTCATTATTTCTGAGGCGTTCATTCTCTCATATTTTTACCCTACTATCTTCCAATCAGATGAAGCCTATTGTCTTAACTTCATACTTTCCTAATTATGTTGTGTATATACTCAGCCCTCTTTGTATTTTGGGTTTCCCCTTCTCAGCCATGCCTCTTCCTTTACAACTGGCCTAGGGACTATCAATTACTCCTCAAGGCACACCTCCCATGGTACCTCTTCTCACCTCACCCTGACAGAGAGCAACAATAGTCTTTTGTCCCTACAGCAACAAGCTAATACATGTGACAATGACCTGTAAGTATAAAATTATATAACAATAGGAAAAACATACTAAGTTATTTTCCCCAGATAATCTGCTATAAGGGCAACCTTGAGCATCATAGGGCATTTAACATCATCCTGGACCTCAACCCACTAAAGACCAGCAGCATCATCAACCTAACCAAAAATGCTCCAAGCATTCCAAATATCCTGTGGGGCAAAAAGTCTTCCATTTGTGAAACAGTGTGGTAGATAAAAGCAATCCAAAAAGGGATGCAAACCATGAGTGGAGGGGCGGATATGTAACGAGAACAGAAATGGTCAACGCATTCCTCTTTTCTTCTTAAGGATGGAAGGCAGTGAGTGGAAGTCTCCATTGTGGAGATCTATGATTGGCAATGGTTTTCTGGGACCCATTTACTGGGACAGGTGGAGCAGAATGCTACTGAGGTTTGAGAAGACAGAAGACAATAGCAAGCAGTCGTTTTAGGAAGGCAGAGGGAGCAAAACATTTAAAAAGTAAAATTTGAGAATTGAGGCCAAAAAAGTAAAATGAAGATACAACTTTTAAGTGTATTGGATTTTTTCCTATCACACTACCAGAATCATGAACACAGGTACAAATATACACGTATTGGGTTTCACCAGAATTAGGTGTTGACAGATGATCATAATAGAGTTGATTACAGCAAGGGAATTGAGTCAAAAGTGATTTGAATGTGAAATATGGAGCCATTGGTGGATGTGGAGAAGTGGAAGATATGAATGAGAGAGTGTCAAGAGGGAATGGAGAAGCTGAGGGGGAGGGGACTGGAACTCTGAATGTGGTGACTGGTCACTACAGGGATAACTGAAAGGAGTGGGAGGCAAAAGAGGCAGCTCTCAGAAAACAAGGTGCTTCAAGTCAGGATTCAAGTTAGGGCAATTACTGGTGATGCCTTTGTTCATTCACTCAACTCTACTACCCTCTGGACACTGTTCTGTGTACTGCAAACTCCATCTCTCTTATGGGATTACACTCTGGCCAGAAATGGACAATAAATAAATAGGTAAACAGATGGGAGATGGTGTCATAAATACAGGCAGGCTTATCACCCATTATAAACTCCAGAGGTTGGTGGAGGAAAAGGTTGCTGGAGGTGACATCAACACTGGGAGGTGTGGAAGAGCTAGGCGTTTGAGAGGCCAGTGCAGATTCTGAGGGGTCAACGTGAAGGAGGCAACCCTGCCCTTGTATGACCCTGAGAATGAGTGCCTCCTTCCCCTTGACCCCACTGGGGCATTTTTTTTAATCATTTTTTTAATTTATTTTCAGCATAACGGTATTCATTGTTTTTGTACGACACCCAATGCTCCATGCAGTCTGTGCCCTCTCTAATACCCACCACCTGGTTCCCCCAACCTCCCACACCCCCACCTCTTCAAACCCTTCAGATTGCTTTTCAGAGTCCATAGTTCATCATAGTCACCAGAGTCCATAGTCTCATTGTTCACCTCCCCTTCCAATTTCCCCCAAATGCCTTCTCCTAACTCTCCATGTCCTCCATGCTATTTGTTATGCTCCACAAATAAGTGAAACCATATGATAATTGACTCTCTCTGCTTGACTTATTTCACTTAGCATAATCTCTTCCAGTCCCATCCATGCTGCTACAAAAGTTGGGTATTCATCCTTTCTGATGGAGGCATAATACTCCATAGTGTATATGGACCACATCTTCCTTATCCATTCATCCATTGAAGGGAAATCAATGGCTTTCTTATACACTAACAATGAAAATACAGAAAGGGAAATTAGAGAATCGATTCCATTTACTATAGTTCCAAGAACCATAAGATACCTGGGAATAAACCTAACCAAAGAGGTAAAGGATCTGTACTCGAGGAACTACAGAACACTCATGAAAGAAGTTGAAGAAGACACAAAAAGATGGAAGACCATTCCATGCTCATGGATCGGAAGACTAAACATCGTTAAAATGTCTATACTGCCTAGAGCAATCTATACTTTTAATGCCATTCCAATCAAAAATCCACCGGTATTTTTCAAAGAGCTGGAGCAAATAATCCAAAAATTTGTATGGAACCAGAAGAGACCCTGAATCGCTAAGGAAATGTTGAAAAACAAAAATAAAACTGGGGGCACCATGTTACCTGATTTCAAGCTTTACTACAAAGCTGTGATCACCAAGACAGCATGGTACTGACATAAAAACAGACACATAGACCAGTGGAACAGAGAGTAGAGAGCCCAGATATGGACCCTCAACTCTATGGTCAGTTAATCTTTGACAAAACAGGAAAAAATATACAGTGGAAAAAAGACAGTCTCTTCAATAAATGCTGCTGGGAAAACTGGACAGCTATATGTAGAAGAATGAAACTCGACCATTCTCTTACACCGTACACAAAAATAAACTCAAAATGGATAAAAGACCTCAACGTGAGACAGGAATCCATCAGAATCCTAGAGGAGAATATAGGCAGTAACCTCTTCGGTATCAGCCACAGCAACTTCTTTCAAGATATGTCTCCAAAGGCAAAGGAAACAAAAGCCAAAATAAACTTTTGGGACTTCATCAAAATCAAAAGCTTCTGCACAGCCAAGGAAACAGTCAACAAAACAAAGAGGCAACCCACGGAATGGGAGAAGATATTTGCAAATGACAGTACAGACAAAAGGTTGATATCCAGGATCTATAAAGAACTCCTCAAACTCAACACACACAAAACAGACAATCATAGCACAAAATGGGCAGAAGATACGAACAGACACTTCTCCAATGAAGACATACAAATGGCTATCAGACACACGAAAAAATGTTCATCATCACTAGCCATCAGGGAGATTCAAATTAAAACCACATTGAGATATCACCTTACCCCAGTTAGAATCGCCAAAATCAGCAAGACAGGAAACAACATGTGTTGGAGGGGATGTGGAGAAAGGGGAAACCTCTTACACTGTTGGTGGGAATGCAAGTTGGTGCAGCCTCTTTGGAGAACAGTGTGGAGATTCCTCAAGAAATTAAAAATAGAGCTTCCCTAGGACCCTGCCATTGCACTACTGGGTATTTACCCCAAGATACAGATGTAGTGAAAAGAAGGGCCTTCTGTACTCCAATGTTTATAGCAGCAATGGCCACGGTCACCAAACTGTGGAAAGAACCAAGATGCCCTTCAATGGACCAATGGATAAGGAAGATGTGGTCCATATACACTATGGAATATTATGCCTCCATCAGAAAGGATGAATACCCAACTTTTGTAGCAACATGGACGGGACTGGAAGAGATTATGCTGAGTGATATAAGTCAAGCAGAGAGAGTCAATTATCATATGGTTTCACTTATTTGTGGAGCATAACAAATAGCATGGAGGACAAGGGGAGATGGAGAGGAGAAGGGAGTTGAGGGAAATTGGAAGGGGAGGTGAACCATGAGAGACTATGGACTCTGAAAAACAATCTGAGGGTTTTGAAGGGGTGGGGGGTGGGAGGTTGGGGGATCCAGGTGGTGGGTATTAGAGAGGGCACTGATTGCATGGAGTACTGGGTGTGGTGCAAAAATAATGAATACTGTTACGCAGAAAAAATAAAAAATTAAAAAAAAAATACCATGAGAGACTATGGACTCTGAAAAACAATCCGAGGGTTTTGGAGGGGCGGGAGGTGGGAGGTTGGGGGAACCAGGTGGTGGGTATTAGAGAGGGCACAGATTGCACGGAGCACTGGGTGTGGTGCAAAAACAATGAATACTGTTATGCTGAAAAGAAAATAAATATTTTTTAAAAAAAGAGATTATGCTGAGTGAAATAATTCAAGCAGAGAGAGTCAATTATCATATGGTTTCACTTATTTGTGGAGCATAAAAAATAGCATGGAGGACAAGGGGAGTTAGAGAGGAGAAGGGAGTTGAGGGGAATTGGAAGGGGATGTGAACCATGAGAGACTATGGACTCTGAAAAACAATCTGAGGGTTTTGAAGGGGCGGGGGGTGGGAGGTTGAGGGAACCAGGTGGTGGGTACTGGAGAGGGCACGGATTGCATGGAGCACTGGGTGTAGTGCAAAAACAATGAATACTGTTACACTGAAAATAAATTTAAAAAATTAAAAAAAATTTTTTTAAAAAGCAAGAAAGAAATAATAGCAGTTTACCTTGTAATTGAACATAACAGTAATAAAACAAATGCATATTTGAAACAAAAAAATGAAAGAATATATATCATATGTGATAATATAACACACTGTATAAGGTAAATTAAATGCACACATATATATACTTTCATTTTTTAATGTCTGCATTACTTGTATAACCAGAAAACAAAGGGTGCAAGATACAAATCTGATACTATAAAAAAAAAGAAGCCTATTGAAAATTGAAGTAAAGGGGTACCTGAGTGGCTTAGTTGGTTTTACATCTGCCTTCAGTCCAGGTCATGATCCCAGGGTCCTGAGATCAAGCCCCACATGGGTGTGGTGGGGGTAGGGGGGTCACTGAGCAGCAGGGAGCCTGCTTCTCCCTCAACCTGCCCTGCTTGTTCTCTCTCTCTCTCTCTCTCTCTAATAAATAAATAATAAATTCTTAAAACAAAAAAGAAAACTAAAGTGTGTATAATGCTACATTTGCCAACAGCTGGATGATTGCACAGTGTTGATGTCATGAAATGAAATGAAATAATGAAAAAGAGCAGTTAGCTCTCAGCAGTCAGAGTCCATTTCCTACTTTGGCTTTTTTGTTCTTCAGCCCACTGGGAACCAAGTAGTATGGGAGGTGGGTAGAGAAGAGACGAGGGGATGGTCTTTCCTCAAAATCCACTTTTCGAAAGTTGTACTCAAGGAAGGGGGCTCGATCCATGGTTTCCAGTTTTCCAGTGCCTTTGCGATGTTCCTCAGAATAAATCAGACTTAATAATTGCTGAAACCAGATGGTTCCTGTAAAGAAATAATTTTGTTTTCAATGATGATCCAAAATGGAAGTGATGCATCATTAATTTTTTTAATCAGAGTTTGTTACTATAGTAAGTACAATGTAATTTCATCTGAATGGAATTGTAAATATATGTAAAGTGCAGTGTGGGGAAAGAAAACAAATATGGCCTTTCTTTTCCTGCTTCAGGAGAAGCTCCATATGAAACTCCGTGGGCATTTGTCCCACAAATTTATTCATTGACTGTTCTGTGTTTTCTTCTGCTTCATATACAGGACTTTAAATGATCTTCTATGCCTGTCTCTCTACTTCCTTCCTCAATCCCACTCCTAGAAAATGAGCCAAAAGAAGCCAAGGAAAAGGAACTCCATGTAAGGAGGCACTTCCCAGACTTCTGCACTTCCCTTCGTTTCCTTCTGTACCCATGGTCTCCACTTCAGGAAACAGTGTTCATTATAAATCCCTAAAGGAGGCCCCAGAACACCCACATGGAGACAGGAAGGAATTTAAGAAACAAAACAGGTTAACGTAGAGGGGGAAAAAAGAGAGAAAGGGAAACCATAAAACAGTCACTTAACTCCAGAAAACAACTACAAAGAACAGAAGTAAATGACAAGAATCATGAGATGGAGGAGGTCCATAAGAAACTGGAGCACTGGAGGAGGAGTCAAGATGGCGGATAAGTAGCAGGCTGAGATTACATCAGGTAGCAGGAGATCAGCTAGATAGCTTATCTAAAGATTACAAACACCTACAAATCCAATGGGAGATCGAAGAGAAGAAGAACAGCAATTCTAGAAACAGAAAATCAACCACTTTCTGAAAGGCAGGACTGGCGGAGAAGTGAATCCAAAGTGACGGGAAGATAGATCACGGGGGAAGGGGCCGGCTCCAGGCAAGCGGCGGAGCAATGGAGCCCTAAATCAGGACGTTTAAAAGTCTGTTCCACTGAGGGACATCACTCCAGAGGCTAAGCCGGGGTGAAGTCCACACGGGGTCAGCGTGGTCCTAGGTCCCACAGGGTCACAGAAGGATCGGGGGTGTCTGAGTGTTGCAGAGCTTACAGATATTAAAATGGGGAAGCTGGCTACAGAGACAGAGCCGAGGAGTGAGCTTGCAGCTCGGGGTTACCTTGAACCGGTCGCAGGCTGGGTGAACTTGGAGCGTGACCTGAGGCCAGGGACACAGGAGTGATTGGGCGCTATTCTCTGAGGGCACACTGAGGAATGGGGCCCTGAGCCCTCAGCAACTCCAGGACAGAGACTGGGAGGCCGCCATTTTCATTCCCGTCCTCCAGAACTCTACAGAAAGCGCTCAGGGAACAAAAGCTCCCGAAAGCAAACCAAGCAGATTACTCAGCCCGGCCCCTGGTAAGGGCCGTGCAATTCCGCCTGGGGCAAAGACACTTGAGAATCACTACAACAGGCCCCTCCCCCAGAAGATCAACAAGAAACCTAGCCAGGACCAAGTTCACCTACCAAGGAGTGCAGTTTCAATACCAAGGAGAGCAGCGGAATTCCAGAGGAGGAGAAAGCAAAGCCCGGAACTCATGGCTTTCTCCCCATGGTTCTTTAGTCTTACAGTTAATTTAATTATTTTTTAATTTTTTTTTCTTCTTCTGCTAAATTTTTTTTAACTTTTACCCTTTTCTTTTTTAATGTTTTTTAACTAGTTTATCTAATATATATATTTTTTATTTTTTATTTTTTTTATTTGTTTTATTTTTAATTGTTTTTTTTTCCTGAACCTCTTTTTATCCCCTTTCTCCCCCCCACGATTTGGGGTCTCTTCCATTTGGTTAAAGCGTATTTTCATGGGGTCTTTGCCACCCTTCTGGTATTTTACTTGCTCCTTCATATACTCTTATCTGGACAAAATGACAAGGCAGAAAAATTCACCACAAAAAAAAAGAACAAGAGGAATTACCAAAGGCTAGGGAACTAATCAATACAGACATTGGTAATATGTCAGATCTAGAGTTCAGAATGACGATTCTCAAGGTTCTAGCCAGGCTCGAAAAAGGCATGGAAGAATTAGTGATATAGAAGAACAAATGACAGAGAATAAAGAAGCTGAACAAAAGAGGGACAAACAGCTATTGGACCACGAGGGGAGAATTCGAGAGATAAGTGACACCGTAAAATGAAACAACATTAGAATAATTGGGATTCCAGAAGAAGAAGAAAGAGAGAGGGGAGCAGAAGGTATATTGGAGAGAATTTCCCCAATATGGCAAAGGGAACAAGCATCAAAATCCAGGAGGTTCAGAGAACCCCCCTCAAAATCAATAAGAATAGGTCCACACCCCATCACCTAATAGGAAAATTTACAAGTCTTAGTGACAAAAAGAAAATCCTGAAAGCAGCCCAGGAAAAGAAGTCTGTAACATACAATGGTAAAAATATTAGATTGGCAGCAGACTTGTACACAGAGACCTGGCAGGCCAGAAAGAACTGGCATGATATATTTAGAGCACTAAACGAGAAAAACATGCAGCCAAGAATACTATATCCAGCTATGCTATCATTGAAAATAGAAGGAGAGATAAAAAGCTTCCAGGACAAACAAAAACTGAAAGAATTTGCAAACACCAAACCAGCTCTACAGGAAATATTGAAAGGGGTCCTCTAAGCAAAGAGAGACCCTAAAAGTAGTAGATCAGAAAGGAACAGAGACAATATACAGTAACAGTCACCTTATAGGCAATACAATGACACTAAATTCATATCTCTCAATAGTTACCCTGAATGTTAATAGGCTAAATGCCCCAATCAAAAAACACAGGGTATCAGAATGTATATAAAAAAAAAAAAATCTATATGTTGCCTACAAGAAACTCATTTTAGACCCGAAGACACCTCCAGATTTAAAGTGAGGGGGTGGAAAAGAATTTACCATGCTAATGGACATCAGAAGAAAGCAGGAGTGGCAATCCTTATATCACATCAATTAGATTTTAAGCCAAAGACTATAATAAGAGATGAGGAAGGACACTATATCATACTCAAAGGGTCTGTCCAACAAGAAGATCTAACAATTTTAAATATCTATGCCCCCAACGTGGGAGCAGCCAATTATATAAACCAATTAATAACAAAATCAAAGAAACACATTGACAATCATACAATAATAGTAGGGGACTTTAACACTCCCCTCACTGAAATGGACAGATCATCCAAGCAAAAGATCAACAAGGAAATAAAGGCCTTAAATGACACACTGGACCAGATGGACATCATAGATATATTCAGAACATTTCATCCCAAAGCAACAGAATACACATTCTTCTCTAGTGCCCATGGAACATTCTCCAGAATAGATCACATCCTCGGTCCTAAATCAGGTCTCAAACGGTATCAAAAGATTGGGATCATTCCCTGCATATTTTTAGACCACAATGCCCTGAAGCTAGAACTCAATCACAAGAGGAAATTTGGAAAGAACCCAAATACATGGAGACTAAATAGCATCCTTCTAAAGAATGAATGGGTCAACCAGGAAATTAAAGAAGAATTGAAAAAATTCATGGAAACAAATGATAATGAAAACACAACTGTTCAAAATCTGTGGACACAACAAAGGCAGTCCTGAGTGGAAAATATATAGCGGTACAAGACTTTCTCAAGAAACAAGAAAGGTCTCAGGTACACAACCTAACACTACACCTAAAGGAACTGGAGAAAGAACAAGAAAGAAACCCGAAACCCAGCAGGAGAAGAGAAATCATAAAGATCAGAGCATAAATCAATGAAATAGAAACCAAAAAGAAAAGAAGAGAAATTAAGGAGTCAATCCCATTTACTATTGCACCCAAAACTATAAGATACCTAGGAACAAACTTAACCAAAGAGGCAAAGAATCTATACTCAGAAAACTATAAAGTACTCTTGAAAGAAATTGAGGAAGACACAAAGAAATGGAAAAATGTTCCATGCTCCTGGATTGGAAGAACAAATATTGTGAAAATGTCTATGCTACCTAAAGCAATCTACACACTTAATGCAATCCCTATCAAAATCCCACCCATTTTTTCAAAGAAAAGGAACAAATAATCCTTAAAATTTATATGGAACCAGAAAAGACATAGCCAAATATTCGAATAGCCAAAGGAATATTGAAAAAGAAAGCCAAAGTTGGTGTCGTCACAATCCCGGACTTCAAACTCTATTACAAAGCTGTCATCATCAAGACAGCATGGTACTGGCACAAAAACAGACACATAGATCAATGGAAGCAAATAGAGAGCCCAGAAATAGAACCTCAACTCTATGGTCAACTAATCTTTGACAAAGCAGGAAAGAATGTCCAATGGAAAAAAGACAGCCTCTTCAATAAATGGTGTTGGGTTCCCCTTTCTCCACATCCCCTCCAACACATGTTGTTTCCTGTCTTGCTAATTTTGGCCATTCTAAATGGTGTAAGGTGGTATCTCAATGTGGTTTTAATTTGAATCTCCCTGATGGCTAGTGATGATGAACATTTTTTCACGTGTCTGATAGCCATTTGTATATCTTCTTTGGAGAAGTGTCTGTTCATATCTTCTGCCCATTTTTTGATATGATTGTCTGTTTTGTGTGTGTTGAGTTTGAGGAGTTCTTTATAGATCCTGAATATCAACTTTTTGTCTGTACTGTCATTTGCAAATATCTTCTCCCATTCCATGGGTTGCCTCTTTGTTTTGTTCACTGTTTCCTTTGCTGTGCAGAAGCTTTTGATTTTGATGAAGTCCCAAAAGTTTATTTTGGCTTTTGTTTCCTTTGCCTTTGGAGACATATTTTGAAAGAAGTTGCTGTGGCTGATATCGAAGAGATTACTGCCTATGTTCTCCTCTAGGATTCTGATGGATTCCTGTCTCACGTTGAGGTCTTTTATCCATTTTGAGTTTATCTTTGTGTATGGTGTAAGAGAATGGTCGAGTTTCATTCTTCTACGTATAGCTGTCCAGTTTTCCCAGCAGCATTTATTGAAGAGACTGTCTTTTTTCCACTGTATAGTTTTCCCTGTTTTGTCAAAGATTATTTGACCATAGAGTTGAGGGACTGGAAGAGATTATGCTGAGTGAAATAAGTCAAGCAGAGAGAGTCAATTATCATATGGTTTCACTTATCTGTGGAGCATAACAAATAGCATGGAGGACAAGGAGAGATAGAGAGGAGAAGGGAGTTGAGGGAAACTGGAAAGAGAGGTGAACCATGAGAGACTATGGACTCTGAAAAACA